GGTGTGCTAGCCCTCACCTTTCACTCATCAAGCGAGTGCGTTACCGGTCCCACCACCAGGGACTCTGAGAGGCAGGTGGCTGGTGGTGAGAATGGTTAATGTGCTCGACTGCTGGCCAACAGCTTGGAAGTTCAAGTCCACTAAGGTGTCTTGGAAGAAAGGCCTAGAAATCTATTCCTGAAAACTCACCCATTGAAAAGCCTGTGGGCCCAGTCCACACTGACTCAAGGGGTTGCCATGTGTCAGTACAACTGGACTGGCCAACATCACAGTGGTAGGATTCCCGCAGACTTGGGGACTGATGAGACCTCCCCAAAGGCCCATCTGCCACAGTCCCTGCTAACACTTGCCTCAGCCATCTCAGTCCGAGCTGTGTGTGTGACCAAAGTTTACACACACAGGGATGAGAGGGGTCAGCAGGACAACTCGCCTTCTGCGGGGACCCTGGGGGCAGGGGGAGCAGGGCCCAGAAAGGAACAGGGCCGGGTCCCTGGAGAACCAGCAGAACGGGGTCAGCAAGCTGCAGGGGAGGGGACAGGGTGGGTCTCACACTCACTCGGCCAACACTGTCTTGAAAGTCTTCATAATGTTTGAGCAAGGAGCCCATCTTCTCATCTGCACTGAGCTCTGTCCGCTAAGTGGACAGACAGCCCACTGACTAGGTAAGGGCTGGCAGGGGGTCTCACAGAAAAGGTCCTGCCTGTGCATGAAGGACAGACAGACTCCAGAGACCTCTTTGTGATGCTTCAAGTCACAAACCGAAGTAGGGGTGTGGGCAGGGAGGAGCCCCAGGTTAGGGACGAATGCGGTCCTCAGGGGGGCCAGGCTTATCCTCTGGCTCTCCCCCACCAGGCTGAGTCCAGCCGGCCATGCTCCACCAAGCAAGGAGGGCCGGAGGCTGCCTGCTTTGAGGCAGACAATTATGGCCAGTGGACAGGCTGTTCAATACGCTATTGACAGGTTCCCCTTGGCAACCTGGAGCCCGGCTCCTCTAAGCACCTCTGCCTTGTGGCACCCTGTGACTCACTAGGATCGGCGGGCTCAGAAATTGACCCGTGTCCCCCCACCACCACCACCACCGCCTTGCTTGATGCAGGGTTTGCTTTGATTTGAAAGAAATGGCAGAGTGCCGTGGAAGAAGCTCCTGGTAGAGAAAGGGTCTGTCTCTGAACCTACAGACGTCTAGGTCCTTTGTCTGGAGAGGATCCAGCCTGGTGGCCTGGGGGTGGAGCCACAGGGGGGTGGAACCACTGGGGGGGGATAGAGCCACAAGGGGGTGGAGCCACAGGGAGATGGGGCCATAAGGGGGTGGAGCCACAGGGAGATGGGGCCATAAGGGGGTGGAGCCACAGGGAGATGGGGCCATAAGGGGGTGGAGCCACAGGGGGATGGTGCCATAATTGGGTGGAGCCACAGGGAGATGGGGCCATAAG